TTAGAAGGAGGATATTTGTCTTAAAACCTAGGCCAGAATGGAGCCTGAAATTGTGGGGTGAAGAGGCCTCTTTAATGAGTAAGAAAAGGTTTCCAAGGCTCTGGCACTGGGACCTGAGTTGGTTAAAACAAGGCAGCACCAACGCCAAGCTGCCATGCTCGCTGGCACTGGTTGGTGCAGAGAGAGCGAGCTGGAGGTTGAGTGCCAGGTGTAGGCTGACTGAGGCTTTCTTAGACCTGGGTGTGTTCATGCTTCCCAACCTGTGGCCCAGGTAGCAGACAGCTCTAGATGGTGAATTGTGATCTTTTCCATCAGCGAAACTGTGCACCAGAGGTAACCAACCTCTGATCTGTGATATGAGTGCAGCTGATCTCTCAGTGCCTCAACCTGAGAGATCAGAGGGCTGTGGTTTCCCATGAAGATCACAGAACTCACTGAGAACAAGGAAGGGCCTGTTTGCAGTTCTGTTTTTGTTCAGCAGCAAACAGAGCCACTTGTCAGGCTGATGGTCCTTGTACATTGCCACTGCCGCAATAGTTTGAAAGAGGGTAAAGGGAAATGGAGGAAAAAGACATTAAAAGGAAAATGTCACCATTTCCAAATGCCATATTATTTGACAGTTTCTCTTTATGTTGCAACAGCTGCTTAACATGACAAATGATGGCTTTAATAAAAATGCACACAAGGAGATGCAGCACCAGAAGATGAATAATGGAGCTTTCTATCCTGACATGTTGGGGAGCATATTCACTCAGCAATGACTAAGACCTTAGTAACTGTGTGCTGCCAGTTGCTTTCAGACAACCCCTGGTAGGTGGCTGGCCCTTGTGTCAGTCAGGTTCCATTTGCCGAAAGCAGAATGCATTGCAACTGGGTTCAGCAGAGAGGTATTTAGCATGGGGCATTAAATGGCTTGCTCAATCATTGAGAAGGTTGACAAAACAGGTCGAACAGAAAGCCACACTGTAGAACAGGGGCCACCAAGAATTCCTCTTTTACAACCAATAAGGTGCCATCTCTCTCAATCAAAGCCACCAAAATCAGGGAGTCAGAAATTACCGCCTTTGGGAAGCTGCCTTGACCAGGTAGCCACACCCTGTCTGCCTATGTGACCAGCGCCAACATGGATGCCTCATCCCTGTCTCTGGGCACCTGAGACTACAAATACTTAGGGCCTTGGATCCCTGTTACTCCTGCCCCTGTAAAAGTAGATGCCTCTATGATGAGATGATGTTTGCAAAGAGGAATAACGCAGTAGCAGAGTGGTTCTTATACAAGTAATTCAGATATAGTAAGTTATGTACAAGGTGTGGGGCTAGGTTGGGGCTAGTAAGGTTTAGTGATTTTAGGTCCCACAAATCTAGGTTTGGAAGTAGATGATAAGGCCAATATTAGTATGGTTTGGAGGGGGGAGGGAAAGAGAGTACAGAAGAGGGTAGGAAAGGTGAGAGTGAATGACAAAGCAGCCTGTCCTCTGCCCCAGGACTGCAGTGGCAACACCTCCCTAGAGTTTTGATAAACATGTGTCTTTGTACTTCACTTACTGTATTGTCATCTTTGTACACGTAAGTTATATAAGGGGAAGAAAAGCCTTAGCCATTGAAAGTTTTACAAAGGGGCCATTCCAAGTAACTTTTCAGAGTTGTATGTATCAAGTCAAGTAAAACTGTAGTGCAAAGCCTATCAATATTGCAGAAGAACCAGGAATGGGGTGGATTAAACACATGGGCTTAGCTAGAATTCCGTAAAGATAGGCTGTTTGCACAAAAAGAAAGGCTTGGAGATTTGCACATGGCACTGATAAAATCATGAAGACCTTTTATTGTTTATTAATAGCACATTAGGAATTCACACATTATTTAGTGGAAAGAAACAAAACATGAGGGAAATGGCACAGAAAACTGTATGCAAGCCATTGGGCCATTTTACTTAATATTTACTGATTACCTACTATGTGTGTTATTATAGAGAGCAAATTAAAATTTATCTGTGTCCTCAAGGAATTAAAATATTCATTGATCTTGTCAGAGCCATCACCTTGAGGAGTTTTAAAGGATATAAATTTTCAGCTTGCTTTTTTTCTCGGAATATAAAATAAAAGATTTTTGTGTAAAGTGTTAAATGCCCTTTAGTACTGTGCTATAAGGAATTGAAAGAAAAGGAAAGACTGTGCCACAGTACCCAAGGAGGAAATAGTCTAATTGAGGAACTAGAACACACCAAGGAAAGAGCACATCTTTTAATTGGCAAAGACTTAGTAGAATAGAAGATACAAGGAAGTGAGTGTCTAATTGCCAAATGAAAGAAATATGGAGAAAATTCTATAGTAACTAAGAGAAATGAAAGAACACTTCACTTTAGGTTACTGGAGGAAGTTTTTATAGAGGAGGTGATAGTCAAGCTATCTTAAAGAAAAGACAGAATTTCCCCTGATAAAGGAAGAGTAAGATTATCCTGAGTAGGAGAAACAGCCTAGGTAGAAAAGTATATGAGAGACAGTGGATGGCATTTGACTGAATGGGTGGGTTTAGAGGATATTTACAGAAAAATGATTTTATTAAAATAGAAATTTTAATAACTTTAAAAAATAGAGTTTTTTTTTTATTATAAGGAGCCATGAATGTTCAGATAAATTATTTTGAATATATTCTGTAGGCACTAGAGATACTGACATTTCAAAAGAGATCAGCCTGATATTGTCCAGAATCAAATAAATATAACTCTGGACTTTTCAAAGCTGTGATAATAGCCTGCTCTTCTCTTAAATTGAAGAATAGCTGATTTCATTTGTTTGTGTTTTCTAATATTTCTCTCCTTTGTATTTGTACTTGTATAATTCTCTATATTAAAACAAACCCTCCCTAAAAAGGTGGATTTATTTTAGGCAAAACATCTCTGAAGACAAATAAAATATTTTGTATGTGCCTATATAATTCTTGAGGATTTTCAGAGTAAGATTAATTTGAAAGTGAAAAAATATGTTTTAAAACCACACAAAGCATATGTGAAAGAGGAGGTACCTTGATGCAGCTGGTCCCTCTAAGGAAGAAGTTGAGGGAACACAATGAACTCAAAACCATAAAGAGGCAAATGCACATGTCCCTAAACAAATAAACAAGCAAACTAGAGAGGGGAAGAATCATTATCTAAAGTTGCCACAATGTGTTATGTAACATATCCACATTTCAACAAAAATTATGAGACATGAAAAGAATCAGGAAAGTATGACCCATTCACGTGGAAAAATGTAGGCAAAAGAAATGTCCTGTGAGAGGGCTCAGATGGCATGTTTATTAATAACAAAGACTTCAAGCAGACATAATAAATATACTCAAAAAGCTAAAGGAAACCATGCTTTAAAAAGGAAAGTAAGCTATACATTATACTTTAGAGTATACCAATAAAGACATTTTAAAAAAAATAAACAAATTAGTCACTTGGCTAATTTTTTATAGTAGCACAATTCACAATTGCAAAGATGTGGAAACAACCCAAGCACCCATCAATACATGAGTGGATTCATAAAATGTGTTATATTTAAACCACGGAGTTCTACTCAACCACAAAAGACAATGCTGATCTAGCACCTCTTATATTATCCTGGATAGAGCTGGAGCCCATTATACTAAGTGAAGTATCACAAGAATGGAAAAATAAGCACCACATGTACTCACCATCAAATTGTTATTAACTGAGCTACATTTATGTACACATACAGTAGTAACATCCATCAAATGTGAGGCAGGTGTTGGGGGGGGAGGGGATGGATATATTCACACCTAGTTGATGCAGTGCACAGCATCTAGGGGGATGGACACACTTGAATCTCTGACTTGGATGGGACAAAGGCAATATATGTAACCTAAACATTTGTAGCCCCATAATATGCTGAAATAAAAAAAATATATAATTTTGTATTTGGAAAATATAATAACCTAAATTTAAAAAAAAACTCACTAGGGGGGCTCAACAGTAGACTTTAACTAGCAAAAGAAAAAAATAAAAAAAACTTAAATATAGATTGATGGAAACTATACAATCTGCAAAACAGAGAAAAGAGAATAAAGATCAGTGAACAGACAAAGAAATATGGTATACCTATAAGCACATCAGCTTACACATACTGGGGTTTCCAGAAGGACAGGAAAGAAAGAAAGGAAAAGAAAGAAATATTTGAAGGAATATTGGCTGGCAACTTCAAAAACTTGATGTAAAACATTAATATACATATCCAATAAGCTTGAAAAACCCCAAGTAGGATAAACACAAAGATATTCACACCCCTATGCACCATTAAAAAAATGGTGGAAGATAAAACAAAGACAATCTTGAAAGTAGAAAGGGAAAACTCATTTGACACATGCAAGTAATCTCCAATAAGATTAACAGATGACTTTTCATTAGAAACAATGGAGACTAGAAGGCAATAGAATGACATATTTTAAAATGATATTTTCAAAAAGTCAACCAAAAGTCTTTTATCCAGCAAAACTAGCATTAAAAAATTAAGGTAAAAACTAAGAGCTTTCTCACCAAGATCAGGTACAAGGCAAGAATGTCCCCTCTCATCACTCCTTTGAAACATTGTACTAGGAGTCTTAGCTAATGCAATAAAACAAGGAAAGTGGGAGGAAGTGTATGCTGATAGGGAAGAAACAAATAAATCTGTATTTGTTTGCAGATGCCATTATTGTCTATATAGAAACTCTGAAAGAAACAACAGAAAACTAGAACTAATAAGTGATTATAGAAATGTAAGATACAAGGTTAATGCTATGGTTTGAATATTTGTTCCCTCCAAAATTCATGTTGAAATTAATCTCAAGTGTGACAATATTGAGGTGGGGCCTTTAAGAGGTGATTGGGTGGACTGCCCATGAGGACTCTGCCCTCATGAATAGATTAATACATTCATGGGTTAATGAATTAATAGGTTATCATGGGAATGGGAATGGTGCCTTTATAAGAAAAGGAAGAGAGAACTGAGCTAGTATACTCACCTTCCTTACTATGTGATGCCTTGCATCACCTCCAGACTCTGTAGAGAGCTCCCACCAGCAAGAAGGCCCTCACCAGGTACAGCCCCACAACCATGGACTTCCCATTCTTTAGAACTATAAGAGATAAATTGTATTTCTTTATAAATTACCCAGTTTCAGGTATTCTGTTATAGGCAACAGAAAATAGACTAAGACAGTTAACAAAAAAGTTATTTGCTTTTCTAAATACCAGTGATGAACAAGTGAAATTTGAAATTAAAAGCATAATATTATCTACATCAGCATCATCCAAAATGAAAAACTTAGCTATAAATTTAACAAAATACATACAAAAGCAATATAAGGGAAAACACAAAACTCTAATGAAAGAAATAAAAGAAGAACTAAATAAATGGAGAGATATTCCACATTCATAGAAAGGATGACTCAATACTGGCACAATGTCAGTTCTTCCCAAATTGACCTATAGCGTCAATGCAATGCCCATAAAAACCCTAGCAAATTATTTTTTAGATATTTGAAAACTGATTCTAAAGTTTGTATAGAGAAACAATAAATCTAGAATAACCAATTCAATATTGAAGGAGAAGAACAAAGTTGAAGGAGTGACACTGTCCAACTTTTGACTTACTATAAAGCTAATTAAGACCGTGTGGCACTGGTGAAAGAACAGACAAATAGATTAATGGAATAGGATAGAGATCCCAGAAATAGACCCACAAAAATATAGTCACCTGCTCTTTGACAAAGACACAAAAGCAGTACAACAGAGAGAAGATAGTTTTTCAACAAATGGTGCCAGAACAACTGTGAATCCACGTGGGAAAAAAGGAATCTAAGTGCATAACTTAACCCTTCACAAAAATTCACTCTGGCTGGGTGCGGTGGCTCATGCCTGTAATCCTAGCACTCTGGGAGGCCGAGGCAGGCGGATTGCTCGAGGTCAGGAGTTCGAAACCAGCCTGAGCAAGAGCGAGACACTGTCTCTACTATAAATAGAAAGAAATTAATTGGCCAACTAATATATAGAGAAAAAATTAGCCGGGCATGGTGGCACATGCCTGTAGTCCCAGCTACTCGGGAGGCTGAGGCAGCAGGATTGCCTGAGCACAGGAGTTTGAGGTTGCTGTGAGCTAGGCTGATGCCACAGCACTCACTCTAGCTGGGGCAACAAAGCAAGACTCTGTCTCAAAAAAAAAAAAAAAAATTCACTCAAAATGGATCAGACATAACTTTAAAATGCAAAACTCCTGCAAGATAACATAGGAGAAAATCTTCATGACTTTGGGTCTGGCAAGAACTTTTTCATACCACACCAAATGTATGATCAATGTAAGAAATAATTGATAAGCTAGTCTTTCTTTAAATTAAAAATTTCTACTTTGCCAAAGATACTGTTAAGCGAGGAAAAAGACAAGCCATAGACTGGAAGAAAATATTTGCAAAGGACATATCTGATAAAGAATTATTATTCAAAATTTACAAAAAGAAAAGAAAACTCTTAAAACTTAACAATAAGAAAATAAACAATGCAATTAAAAAGTGGGTAAAAAACTTCAACATATATTTCATTGAAGAAGATCTACAGATGTCAAATATGCTCCATGTCATATATCATCAGGGAAATGAAAGTTAAAATAATAATGAGATATCACTGCACACCTATTAGAATGCTAAAATCCAAAACACTGACAATAATAAATGCTGACAAGGATGTGAAGCAACAGGAACTTTCATTCATTGCTGGTGAGAATGCAAAATGGTAGAGCTGCTTGGGAAGGCAGTTTGGGAATTTCTAACACAACTAAACATATTCTTATCATATAATCCTGCAGTCATGCTCCTTTATTTTTACCCAAATGATCTGAAAACTAATATTCATACAAAAACCTGCACACAGATGTTTATAGCAGCTTTATTCATAACTGTCAAAACTTGGAAGCAATCATGGTATCCTTCAATAGGTGAATGGATGAAAAAGCTGTAGTACATCTAGACAATGAAATATTATCCAGTGCTAAAAAGAAATAAACTATCAAGCCTTGTAAAGACATGGAGGAAACTTAATTACATATTACTAAGAGGCCAAAATAAAAAGGCTATATATTGTATGATTTCAACTACATAACAACTGGAAAAGGCAAAGCTGTGGAGATAATAAAAAGGTCAGTAGTTGTCAGGGGTTGAAGGACGAGAGGGATGAACAGGCAGAGTGGAGAGAATTTTTAGGGCAGTTCAACTATTTTGTATGATACTATAATTGTGGACACATGTCAACATACATTTGCCAAGCCCACAGAATATGCAACACCAAGAGTGAACCCTTATAAAAATTATGGACTTTGGGTGACATGATGTGTTAATGTAAGTTCATCAGTTGTAACAAATGTACCACTCTGATGGAGGACGTTGATAATGGGGGAGACTCTGCATGTGTGGAGTCAGGGAATATATGGAATAACTCTATGCCTTACTTCAATTTTGTTGTGAACCTAAAACTGCTCTGAAGAAATTAATTATTTTATTTTTAGAAATGAAGGTGAAATAAAGATATTCCTAGATTAACAAAAACTGTGAGAAACTGTTGCTTGCAGACCATCTTACATGAAATACTAAAGAAGTTCTTTAGGTTAAAGGAAGAGACCATAAAGAGTAATTCAAATCAACACAAAAAAGCAAATATTACTGATAAAGTGATTATATAATTGTAACAGACTGTATAAATGCCTATTTCTTCTTTCTTTTCTGAACTGCTTTAAAAAACAATTATAGACCACTATATATAATATATATACACATATATATTTCTATTGTTGTGCTTATAACATATAGAAATGTAATATATCAAACAATAAGAGCAGTAAAAGAGCTATATTGCAGTAATGAAATGACACCACATGGTAACTCAATTGCATGGGAACAACTAAAGATAGACATACATGGTAAATAAGATGGAGAATACAATAAAGTCTACAAATATATATTTTTTAGACTTCTACAAAAGTGTTTTAATTAATTAAAATAATAATTTATAAAAATGTACTGTTGGACTGTAACACATACAAATTTAATATGTTTAAGAATAATAGCACAAAAATTGGAAAAAGACAGATCTATATAGTAGTAATGTTTCCTTATTTCATTGGGATTAAGTTAATATAAATCTGAAGTGTATTCTGATAAGTTAGGATGTATATGGTAGATCCTAGAGTAACCACTAATAAAATATCTCAATAAAATAGAGTGAAAAATTATTAAAGAAATTAAAATATTACACTAGAAATACTAACTTAATTAAAAATAAAACAGTAAAGGATAAATAGAGAAAAAAAGACATGTGACATATAGAAAACAAAAGAGTAAATCTAAATATATCACTAATAACATTAAATGTGAATAGATTAAACAGTTCAATCAAAAGGCAGAGATTGTTAGACTGGATAAAATGACAAGATCCAACTATTTGCTGTCTATGAGAGACAAACTTTAGGTAGAAATAGGTTGAAAGTAAAAGGATGGAAAAATATATACCATGTAAAACGGCATTTTAAAAGTTGGAGTCATTATCCCAGAAAATATACTTCAGAACAACAAGATTGACTACAGATCTAGGGAAGGTTTACAATGATAAAAGGGTCAGTTTATCAGTAAGGTGTAAAAAATATAAACATACATGCACAAAGCCACAGAGCCTCAAAATACACAAAACAAAAATTGACATAAGTGAAGGTAGAAATAAACAATTCAACAATAATCATTGGAGATATCAAACCCCCCTATTAATAATATATATAAAACTAGGCAGAAGATACAAGAAAATAGAAGATTGAAACAGCACTTTAAGCCAACTGGAATCAAAAGACCTCTCTGAAACACTCCACTCAGCCACTGCAGAATATGCATTGTTAAGTACACATAGGGTATTCTCCAGGATAGATCAGATGCTAGGTCATAGAACAAGCCTTCATAAGTTTTAAATGAGTGAAATTAAACAAAGTAAGGTATCTGACCATAATTAACTTAAAATAAAAATCAATAACAGAAAGAAATTTGATAAATAAAAATATCTGTAAAAATTAACATAATCAAATAGCAATGAATCAAAGAAGAAATCACAAGAGGAATTAGAAAATACATTGAGAAGAATAAAAATAAAGACAAAACATAGAGAAACATATTGGATGCAGTTAAAGCATTGCATAGAAATAAATTTATAGCTGCAAACACCTATATTTAGAAAGAAGAAAAATGTCAAATCAATAATCTAAACTTCTACCTTAGGACAATGGGAAAAAACTAGAAAACTAAACCCAAGGTAAGCAGAAAAAAAAAATAATAAAGATGAGTTAAAATTAATGAAATAGAGAATAAAAAATAATAATAAAGAAAATCAATGAAACTAAAAATTAGTTCTTTAAATTATCAACAAAATTGATAAGCCTTTATTGATACTGAACAAGAAAAAAAGAAAAGCTACAAATTACTAAAATTAGAAATAAAAGAAGGAATGTACTAATGACTTCACAGAAATAAGAATTATAAGGGAATACTATTAACAATTGTATGGCAGTAAGTTAGATGACTTAGATAAAATAGCTAAATTCCTAGGAAAACACAAACTACTGACACTAACTCAAGAGGAAATGGAAAATCTACATAGACAAGTAAAGATATTTAATTAGTAATTTTAAAACCTCCCCCCCCCCAACAACAAAAGCCCAAGACCAGATGGCTTCACTGGTGAATTCTACCATACATTTAAAGAAGAATTAGTTATTGTATAAACTCTTCCAAAAATAAACAAACAAAAACAAAAAAAGAAAAACACGGAAGAAGAGGGAATATTTCCTTACTCATCCTATTAAGCCAGTACTGTTCTGGTACCAAAGCAAGACAAAGATATTACAAGAAATAAAACTACAGACCAACATTTGTAATGAATACATATGGGAAAATCCCTTAAACATGCTAGAAAAGTGACTGGAGCAATCTGTAACGCACCTTATACACTATGACCAAGTGGGATTTATCGCAGGAATGCAATGAAGGTCTACTATTCTCAAATCAATTAATGCAATACAGCATGTCATTAAATAACAGATAAAACCCAAGGAATTATTTTAACAAAGGCATGAAAGCATTTGTCCCTAATATCCTCAGTGATAAAAGCACCTCAGTCTGTTAAAGGGCATCTACCAGAAACCCTACAGCTAACGTCATACTTAATAGTACAAGACTGAAAGCTTCTCCCTGAGACCAGGATAAAGGCAAGGATGGCGCTCTCACCACTTGTATGAGTGGAGGTTCTAGCAAGAGAAATTTAGTCAAGAAAAAGAAATAAAAAGCATTCATGTTGAAAAGGAGAAAACAAAACTATCTTTATTTGCAGAGTTTGTTTGCCTTCTCCTTTCACAAGAAAGACTTTAAAGATTCTACATTTCTACCAAGGGTGGAAGAAGGGTTGAAGCAAATCGTGCAAAGCTGTCAGGGGAAGTGAGTGGATTTTTTGGTGGGCATGGAAATGGGAAACGGGCTTTTCTGATGTGACTGTTGCTTTCCCTTTGAGCACGCAGATTAGGAGGGTCTTGGCAGTGCTAAACTTAGATAGAGGCATATGATGTGTGTAGCCCACGCTGAGGACCTGCTATGGTTAAAATACTCATTTTTATTTATTTCTTCGCTGCCTCTTTTCACAAAAAGATTGTAGGCAAGTGTTTAAAACATTCCTCTTGGTAGGAAGATATAATAAGTTTCAGAGTTAAAGATACATAGAAATCTATATATAGAAAGCTATATACGGAAAGATATTTATAAAGAAGGTATAATGAGTCACAGAGTTAAAGAAATAAAAATTTTAGCCATGAGCAAAGTGACATGTACCATAGATAACAAAACCCTGGATATGAATCGGTTTGGGGATCTTTACAAATGTCCCCGTGCCATTCTGGGATGACGAGAACAAAGGGGCAGCTGCAGAAGGTGGGTTTAAGATGAGGTGGTTTCAGGGTGACACCTGGCCCTTCTGGCGTCTGGAAAGCCTGGTCGTCGTGTGGTCCCGAGCCCACAGAGCACCAGGCCCCACCCCGGCACGGCGGGCCCACCCCGGCACGGCAGGCCCACCCCACCCCGGCACGGCAGCCCACCCCACCCGCACGGCGGCCCACCCCACGCGCACGGCGGCCCACCCCGGACGGCAGGCCCACCCACCCCGGACGGCGGGCCCACCCCACCCGACGGCGCCCACCCCGCACGCGGCCCACCCCGCACGGCAGCCCCACCCGGCACGGCGGCCACCCCGGCACGGCGGGCCACCCCACCCCGGCACGGCGGGCCCACCGCGGCACGGCAGGCCCACTGCAGCGAGGCGGCCGCTATCCGATGCTCGCGGCCGCTCGGGGCCCGCAGCTGTCAGCCTGGGCGTCTACCAGGTGTGCGGTGCTCTGCCAGGCGCCAGCACGTGGTGCTTTATTTAATTCTTACGACAACCCTGCGAGATAAATTGACATGCACGTAAACAGAGGCAAACCCCAAGCTGGGTTCCCCGAGATGGCCTTTCGTGCCCACGATGTTTATTAGGGAGTTTCCTGGGGATCGGGCTGGCGAGAGGCAGGGCGGGAGCAGGCCGGGCGGAGGGAAAGGCAGGGTGTGCCTCGGGCTGCCTTGCGGCTGAGTAGGCTCACCAGGGCTGTCCCACGCCGGGCAGCAGTGGCCAGGCCTTTATTCTCCTTCTCGGTCGGCCGTGTGCTGGAGCTGGGCCACCCTGGGGACGTGGACTGGGGAGGGACTTCCTCGAGGGCGAGGCAGCCCCTGGAGGCCACCTCCTGACCGCGCACCCGCAGCTGGGCAGTCTGTCCTGGAAGGGCAGCTCATCTCAGCGTCCACCGCGATCACGGGAATTAAAAGGTATTACACGCTTAGCAAGGATTACTGAATTTAATCCTCGCAGCAACTCTGTATGGTAGGACTGCTGTTCTCTTTTGTTTTTCCGGACGAGGAAAGCGAGGCTTGTGCTGATGCGTAGACTGCCCTAGCTTGCACGGCTTGTGGGTGATGGGGCCGGATCCGAACTCTGATTATCTAGTTATTCTTCTACACTATGCCACCCATGCAGGGAGAGACACAGAAAAGTATAAGAAATGGTTAATATCTTAAAAAAAACCTATCTATTACTAATTAGACTGATAGGAAAACAAGAGTAACATCCTTGAGATGTTACAAGAATACAAAATATAGCATGTTGTAATTTAAGGAAAGCAGCGATTTGAATAAGTGACCTGAGTTTGAGTCCACCACTTTCTGACTCTATGGCTTTGAAGGGAGCCACATATACTTTATGAGCCTCAGTTTCCTAATTTCAAAATGGGGCATAATAGCACCTTCCTCTCTAGCATACAGAAAGGGCAACCAAATAGTGCCCACGGGTCCACATTAAAGTGTGTTGTCCACATGTGCCTGCTGGAGGGACCAGGGGACCTCGGGGGCAAGAGCAGGGTCGTGGAGGAGTGGGACCTGGGCTGAGTTGTGAAAGGTAGTGCTGGGCTAGGAAGGGGGGGTGACAGTATCAGGGGCAACAGGTGAGCAGGTATGGAGGGTGAGAAGAAACAAATGATTGTCTTAACGAAGGTTCTAGACGTTTCGTACACTAGCTAATGTAATCCACTCAGGGCCATAAAGATAGGTGCCACTATCATCCTCATTTTTCAGATGAGATAACTAAGGCTCAGAAAAGTTATGAGATATGCCTGTAGTTCATATAAAGGAACCAGGATTTGAACCCACATCTGAAGGATTACAAAGTCCCCACTCTTACCATAATGTCATGCTAAAGTCTGCAACATATCATTGTTATGAAAAGCATCATTGTGCAAAAGATGGCAAATCAGGCTTTTGACTGGCCACTCTCTCTTCTAGTTTGAATAACATTTCCATGTGTGTTTGGAGTCAGCACGATTCAGACAAGGTCTGTGTAGGGAGTTTCCTCCCTTTTACCTATTTCCTCCTTGTCCAACCTCTATTGCCATCGTCTCTTCACCTCGAGGTGTTTCTTAGAAAGTGCTTTTCCTCTGAACAGCTCTGTGTAGGTGCGCCTGTCCCCCAGGCTCAGCGCGGGAGGATCTGTCTGCCAGCCTCCAGAGCCTTCTCTCTTGCATGCAACTGCTGCTTGCAGAATAGGCACAAGTGTGACCTCCCAATATACATACGCTGACCTCAACTGACATCAAATGAGAACATAACTAAACTCAGTTCCAAGTGTGTAATGATAGAGGGGTTTGAGATGCAGCTGGTGGCCTTGAAATCTCGAGTACTTAACCTTAACATGTAGCTAAGGTATAGGTAGGATGAAGACAGGGACAATGATCAAATGTAAAACAATAATACACAATAATTAAAACAGTAATGATAGCAGCAACAATTAGTAATAATAATATTGTAATAAGGATAGGCAGAAGAGCTAATGTTTATGGACAACCTAGACCTTAGCATTCTCTGCTCCCTCACTTCTCTTCTGCTACACCAGAATGTTGGAGGAAATGGAAATTGAAAGAATATTCTAACAGTGAGAGCTGCCTGTCAACATTATAAAACAGACTGTGGTGTAGTGATTCGTGTTCATGGAAATGCTCATGTAAAACCCGAGGACGGTATGTGAAGAACTGCACACAGGAGAGTTTAGCACTAACTTCTGATTAGAAAGATGATGTCTAAGGCCCCTTCCAAATTCAAAATTCTATGGCAAAGCAATTTCCCAAGTAATGGAGCCCACTTCTGCATGTGTTTGAGGTTCTAGATGCACGTCTTGGGGTGCGTGGGGTGGTGCCAAGCTTCCCAGCGGCAGGTCCAGGTTCCTAGGTTCCCACGTGCTGTCAAGCAGGCGTCCCGCTCTGGCTGGCGGAGAAAACCGCCTCCGTGTCGCTTTCTCATCCGCTGGGAGAAAACAGGACGGTGGAGATGAAGTGCTCCTGAGGTTGGAGGTGCCGAAGCAAAAAGCTAAGTTGGAGAGCTCCTGATTTAAAGTAAATATTGTGCAAAATAAGGCAAAGACTGAAAAGTCTGATGCGGTTAAGTGGCTGCCAGTGAGCGGATCCAGACAGTGCTTCCCCGCCGTGGGCGGGGCTTTCCCTGGGCGGGGCCTTCCCTGGGCGGGGCCTTCCCTGGGCGGGGCCTTCCCTGGGCGGGGCTTTCCCTGGGCGGGGCCTTCCCTGGGCGGGGCTTTCCCTGGGCGGGGCCTTCCCTGGGCGGGGCTTTCCCTGGGCGGGGCTTTTCCTGGGCGGGGCTTTCCCTGGGCAGGGCCTTCCCTGGGCGGGGCTTTCCCTGGGCGGGGCCTTCCCTGGGCGGGGCCTTCCCTGGGCGGGGCCTTCCCTGGGCAGGGCCTTCCCTGGGCGGAGCTTTCCCTGGGCGGGGCCTTCCCTGGGCGGGGCCTTCCCTGGGCGGGGCTCTAAGGCTAGGACAGCCGGAGAAACAGGTGAGGCTGGAGACCAATTTGCACATTGAGGGAGTGTTTATAAGGAAATAAATGTCATGTCCTTAATTTGGTGCCCCCTCTGTGACAAATATAAAAATAATAGCAGGGTTTTCCTTCGGCCCACAATTTCTGTTCTCTCACACCATGGTCTAGACTTAAAATCTTTTGCTCAAGCTCTGAGTGGAAAGCACTGATTAGGCAAACTGCTGATGCACAGGCAGAATTAGTCTGTTTACCGCGTGGGAGCTTGCTAATTGCAAAGGAATGTGAGTTCCCAGGCACAATCTTGGTGGAAGGCTGCTTTCATCACCCTGGGGGAGGGTGTGCAGAGCCCAGGCCTCCATTGGCTGAGATAATTGGGCTGGTTTCTGTGCTTTGCTTTCCTCTTGTTCAATTTTCTTCCCAAGATGATTCATCAAGAAGCCTCCTTGGCCTTCTATTGTACAGTGCTACAAGCATCCAGTTAAAAACAAACGCCACAGTGGAAACGGGCATCCTACAGAAAAGTGTCACACTTGTTCGTTTGGCAAATGTTTATTGAGCGCTGCCGTTTTGCTAAGCCTTGTGCTTGGTACTGAGAGCAGAGAAAGACCTCGATACGTTAGCGAAGTGTCCTGTACTCCACTAGGGCAAATGCATTGTAATAAGATTGTATGGGAAGGAGGATAGAATTCTGAGGAGGCCCAGAAGAGGGAGGAATTGCTTTTGCCAAGGAAACTGGGAAACTGCACAGGGAAAGTAACATTGGAACTGGACCTTGGAGATGAGTTTTGGGATTTGATCAGCAGAGGAGGACCTTTCAGATCAGAGAAGCAGCGTGGGCTAGCACGGAAAGATGGAAATGTCAACCTTTTCCTAGAAAGGCCAGTGGTCCAGCAATGGCCAGGGATCTATATTGAAAGGGACTTTGCAAATCATCTAGTGCAATGGCTAATTTTACAGGTGAGGAAACTAAAGGCAGGAGAGCCTAACTGACTTCTCCAAAGTCTGCAACCCCGACCTGTTCAGTTACCAACACTATCTCTGAGCATGTATTTGGATTTACCATTTTGCGAACATACTTATGTCATGGAGTTACTTTCATCTCATGTCAGTGTTCTTGGCCCTGGCTTTTCCTCCCCTTGCTAAGTGTACAGATAGCATCTCTTGATTCTCCCACTTTAAATGCATCCATCAAGCCACCAATCATTCAGTCTATTTGTCAAACACGTATAAAAGCTACTAAGTCAGGCACTCTCGATGCTATTTTTTCTATCTTGTGCTCTTTACAAGTACCCACATCTTTTTGTTGCTCATCCTTAAAAATACACTTAGTTTTATTTAAGATGTGAAAATCTTAGAATCCATTCTTCAGCCCTTTCAATGTGCCTAGAAGCATTCGTGTTTCAAAGCTGAAAAGACGCTGGGCTATAGCTCGGTGCTCGTTATGTGTCTATGTCAGTTTATACACCTCCGGGAAAACTATTTTTGGGACTCCCTGGCCAGCACCATTAGTTTCCATTAATTAAGAGGAGGATAATCAAGGGTCATTTCTGACAGACCCTTGCTACTTGCGGGAGAAAGTTGCACATGCCCCATGTCAGCATAGGGGGAACTTTGCTCCAGATGGAGGCAGGTAGCCAGTGGCATTGGATGTTTATTGTAACTCCTGCTTCTTCTCTCCTCAGCCTCACTCTCTGCTGCCTGCACTTGCAAGGTTGTCCAGCTGCAGACCCAGTCTCCCATATTCTCTCCGGGCCCGGTGACCTGGGTTGATTGTATACACAAAGATGTCAGAGCAAATCACCACATCTGGGAATTGTCAGCAAAACAGTTTGTGGAATAAAACGCACATGTTGGCAAAGGGTGGGGGAGGCTAGAAAGCAGGACATCTTGACAGAGAGAGAGAAGTGTTGGAATTAATTCATAAACGTGTCGAGGGGAAATTAGCAGCTGAAGATTTGCAAAGGGAGAAGAGACAGAGGGAGAGAGGAGAGGAGGAGACAGACAGATGGAGAGGGGGAGGGAGACGGTGGAAAACAGAGCAGAAGCTGGGGCTCTATATCCCCGTCTTGCTTTGCCCTCCGCTGAAGCTGCCTGTGCTTTTGCGGGGGGGGGGGGGTCCCGCCTTGCCTGGGCTTGCCGTGGCCTTGCCAGCCCTCACCACCCATGCCCCGAGCTCCTGGCCTCACCCCTGCTTCCCACTCCCACCACAATAGTTGTGCTTTTTGCACACATGGGATTCCCAGTCTCTCGAGAAGGAAACTCCCTGTCTCTGCAGTGCACGCAGACTTCTGAGCTGCCCATGGCTAGAAGGGAAGCACCGGGCTTTCCAGAACTCCTGACACCCCGATCTTGTACTGGGCCCCAGTTTTCTACTGTGAAATCTGGATTATTGGGCAAGCTACAGGAGATGATGCGTGTAAGTCATGCATCTTAGCGTCAGGTATGCTATGAGCACTCAGAAAGTTACTATTATTGTTGTTATTATCACCATTTTATCAACAGGAACAGCAGTAAGAACAGCAAACTGTAAGTTCCCTCCTTGGTGTTCCGTGGCACCTACTTCAATCTGTGTGTTCAAGGTCAAGGGGCGGAGCAGTGTGTTTAAGCGCAGCTCTAGAGCCAACACGGACACATTTCCCACATTCCATCTCTTAATTGGCGGCTGGAGCTGTGCCCTGTAACAGTGAGGCTGTTGGACGGTGTTCTGGTCTGGAACACAATACAGGCAATCACCCAATGTCATTTTGAAAGAACAATTGGGACTGCTGCGTGCGAGATGAGGCGCGCTTGGGTTCGTTGTTTCCCTCCTTGTGCGGCTGTTACCAGGGTGTGCCCTGAAGGATCCTTTCCTCCCAATTTCCTTTCTCCCTCCCAGATTCAATGTGTCTCTTCTAAATCTCCGGGCCTGCGAGTAGTAGCATTGTGTATAGATTCTGATTTTTTCCCCAAAATAGATGTAGATAAATTGAAGCTCTGTGAATAATTACGACTCTTACAGAGCTATTTTTGGACTCTCTATACTCCATTTTCCTTTTCGGTCTCTGTGTTATCTAATCCCTTGCTCCGCTCCACCCTCTTCCTTTCACGGAAGAATCTCTGTGGCAAGCGATGCTGTTCGATAGCATTTTACACACAGCAGAACGTCTTTCATAATTGGAGTCAGTCCTCTCGAACCCTGCCGCCGCTTTATCAACTAAGTTGATGTAATGTTCTAAATCTTCCGTTGTCATTTCAACAATATTCACGACATCTTCCCCAGGAGTAGATTCCATCTCAGGAAAACCACTTTCTTTGCTCGTTCATAAGAAGTAACTCCTCACCCATGCAAGACTGATCATGAGATGGCAGCAATTCAGTCACATCTTCAGGCTCTACCTCTAATTCCAGTTCTCTTGCTGTTTCCACCACATCTGCAGATACTTCCTCCACTGAATTCTTGAGCCCTCAAAGTCATCCATGAGGGCTAGAATCAATTTCTTCCAAACTCCTATTAATGATGATATTTTGACTTCCTCCCATGAATAAAGTTCTTAATGGCATCCATAATGGTGAATCCTTTCTGGAAGGTTTTCAGTTTACTTTGCCAAGATCCATCAAAGGAATAACTAGCTATGGCAGCTATAGACTTATGAAATGTATTTCTTAAATAATAAGCCTTGAAAGTTGAAATTACTCCTTGATCCATGGACTGCAGAATGGATGCTGTGTTAGCAGGCATGAAAACAACATTAATCTCCTTGTACAAGTCCATCAGAGCTCTCAGATGACCAGGTGTATTATTAAAGAGCAGTAATATTTTGAACAGAATCTTTTTTTCTAAGCAGTGGCTCTCAACAGTGAGCTTAAAATAGTCAGAAAACCATGTTGTAAACAGATGCCATCTAAGCTTTGTTGTTTCATTTATACAACACAGGCAGAGTAGACTTAGCATAATTCTTAAGAGCCCTACAATTTTCAGAATGATAAATGAATATTTGCTTCAAATTAAAGTCACCAGCTGCATTATTCCCTAACAAGAGAGTCAGCCTGTCCTTTGAAGTTTTGAAGCCAGGCATTGGTGTCTCCTCTCTAGCTATGAAAGTCCTAGATCCAATAGAAGGCTGTTTCATCTGCATTGAAAATCTATTTAGTGTAGCCACTTGCATCAATGATCTTACTTAGCTCTTCTAGACAACTTGATACAGCTTCTACATCAGCACTTGCTGCTTCACCTTGCACTTTTATTTTATGGAGGTGGCTTCCTTCCTTAAACCTCATGAACCAGCCTCTGCCAGCTTCCAACTTTTCTTCTGCAGCTTCCTCACCTCTCCAAGCCTTCACAGAATAAAAGAGTTAGGGCCTTCCTCTGGATTAGACTTGGACTTAAGGGAATGCTGTGGCTGGTTTGATCTTCTATCCAGACCACCAAAAGGTTTTCCACAATAATAGTAAGACTGTTTCACTTTCTTATTATTCATGCGGAGGAGTGCTTTTAATTTTCTTCAAGAACGTTTCCTTTGCATCCACAACTTGGCTAACTGTTTGATACAAGAGTCCTGGCTTTCAATTTATCTTGGCTTTCGACATGCCTCCCTCACTAAGCTTACTCATTTCTTGCTTTTCATTTAAAATGAGAGA